TAATATATTATATAAATGATATTCAAATACATATATAATAGATGCTATGCATATGTAGATAAAAGATTTTCAGAAAATGTCAACAACAACATCCGTCTTATCTCCATCCTAATCAAAACTTTTTCTTTTCTTTCCATGCTCAAGGTCATGATTTCCTGATTGGTCAAAGGCGTCTAGATGTCAAGATGTCACGCAAGCAAAGTATTTCCCGCTCTGAGTGGATGAGGTCTTAAAAGATTTCAGACAGTAAGGCCAACAGCTCTTTAATTAATAAGGAAAGCGAAGCGGAAGAGGAAAGCCTCGAAAGATAGCAAAATAGGATTAAGAACAAGACATTAATGAAAGAGGAATAAATAACTGTGACGCAGTAGACATAGAAAAGAAATAGAGAGAAAGAAATGGAGAGATAACGAAAAATTACAACAAATAAATACATTTGCAGGCACAATCGATAAAAGACAAATTCTGTTTCAATAATATATGACAAATATCAGCAGAATGATAACGAAAATAACATGTTACGGAATATAGAGATAGTCTTATTTCCTAAAATACAAAGTTAAATTATTTGTTTAATTGTTTATTTCTATGCATATATGCATATATGTTAATTTTTTATTTTACAAATTAAGACTTTTATGCACAAGTTATATTTTATATTATATAACTTAATTATTTACTTAATAGATTAAAAGCATTGATTGGAGTGCATGAACTGAACGAGTTACGCAACTCGTCTGTGACTTATATAAGTGAGTATTATATGCGAATGTAGCAATCATGCACAACAGAAATTTGTTTGTTGWTAAATTATAGAAGAGCATATAAATAAATACAATTATGTACATATAAATAAATTTATATATATATTCTTTAGCAAGGAATTCATCCAGTTAATCAATAATGTATGTCCGGTTTTGTCTTTCCATAGATTTGCCTTCTAACATTACTATTTATTTATTGATGATATGAATAGTGTGTTTTAATTCGTATCGTTAATAAATAATTACCAAAATTGATATAATAATTGAATTATTATTTATTTGGACAAATTTTTATTCATGAATCTATTTTAATTTTCGTTTATATTTCAATTTTTAGAATTATTTTTAGAGTTCCTTGGCTATGAATAGACTGCAAATATAATATAAATATATATTTATTGATATATATGTATAGTTCACCTAATATACCCCAATAAAATTGGCATTAATTTGTAAAAGTGTAATAAATGTGACGTCAAGTCCGTGTTGACTTGATTTTCTTGTCAGAATTTCAATTGGATTTTATGCATCCACATAAGCAGACGCCATATAAGTGCGCTGGCAGCCATAAATAGCAGCCAGAGCGGCTGCCAAGGGTAATTAAAATTTAAAAGCAGCCTATGCCACCCACTAGCAACAATTGTTAAATAGCAACACCAACAGCAATAGCAACAACAATAACAATAAACTGCAACAACAATGATTCCATTGTTTTCACTTCAAACCCAACATCCTGACATTGACAATGCCAACAAGAAATTCACTGCGCTGTGCTGCGGCAAGCTTATAACGTTAAAGTATTATAGTTGGCCTTAACTGACTTTGCAATACCCGCTTATGGTAGAGAAAAGGCAACGTTTGTGTTTAAATCTAAGTAATTTGATTGTCATCGAAAATTAACGATATGTATGGTCAGCTACAGTGTGACTTTAAATACGATACCTATATACTGCTGATTCTTCGATCAAAGCTCCAGACGGTTGACCATGCAATGAAACTTTGAAATTAATATGTGAACAAAGTTTCCGATAGACTTAATATTTTTATGATCGTATCTATTCCCTATTTGACTTCAGCAGTCAGGCACCTAATACTCCCTTGTTTTTCATTGTGAACGTGTATAAAAGCCATATCATCATATCCAAGTGTTTGTCTGGCATATAGTGTTAGTCGAGCCGCCGAACCCCTCCCAGCCATTGTTAACACACCCACACGCCCTCACACCGCACCACACACACACACGCACACACACACCACCCAAAGCATTCAGCAATTGCATAGACACTTCAACTGCCGCAACACTCGCTGCCACCCGCTGAGGCAGCTTAGTGTGTGCCAAAGTGTGGCAACAATCTGAATCATCGTTTCAGTGGATGCTCCTCTTCCTTTCCGTTCTCTGTTCTCCGTTCTCTATTTCCGCAACGCTTGCAAAAAAAAAAAAAAAAAAAAAAAAAACAAACAAACAAAACAAAAAAACTGCCTCTCAGTCAATGTTAATATCTGTAGCTGATGCCTTAAGAGCAAAATGCGATAATGTTCTCTAAACAATGAACGAATGCCATAAAAATAGCCGTCTATAGCAAGTGGGCTGTGTGTGTTGTGTGCGTATGTTTGTGTGAGTGTGTTTAGTGCCATGGCGAGCCTGAAGTGGATTTCTGATTAAATTAAATACATATTTCTTTGGCGTGGATAGAAACGCTGTGTGTACGCCTTGATTTGATTTATGCTTTTTATATCAAATTAATATTTATTTTCTATTGAACTAATACATGATAATAAATAAATTTCGAGTGATTGATGTTTAAGTACATGGAACATCAATTCATATTGTTGATGAATCCTGGAATTGAACTTTTTTTATGTGAATAGCATAACTGATTATTTGTATTAGCCTAAACTCTTAAAATATTGTAAAGTACCATTCACAAAATCATGTAATTATAACAAAGAGTGAAATAAATTGAAATTGAAATAAATTTTGAAAATAAATCATATCATTTTATGGCACGGTTGAATTCTATAATAAATTTGAAAAATATTACATAAAATAGTATTAGATAATTTGATAAGGAATTAATACTTTTCATTTACATATTTATTTAATTTCATATAATATTATATAATATTTCATACTAAATATAATATGAGATGTTTTCAATATTTTATAATATTTCTTACTGAATATAAATATTATATGTATAGGGAAAGTCAAGTTTAAGTTCATGCATAAAAATTAAGATTTAAAAAAATGTTTTTGATTATTTCAATTAATAATCATAGGCATTTATATAACATTTTGCCCCTGCCATTTACTTTATACAAGAAACTCTTTTTATGGCGCCAAGTTTTATATTTTATGTGACATTTTATTGCTGTGTCGCCGTCGTCATAAATCATCGTATATTATATAAATGATAATAATTTAATTATGATATATTACGCACGGCTGTGGGCGAGTGGTAAATGCAATTTAAGTTGAATTGAATCGCAACAAAATAAATGGTTCATATGCAATTTATTTGTACGCTCTTGCAGACCATTAAAGAAAAAAGTCCATAATCCAAAACGTTTTACGTGGAAATTCTAACCGCGTGGAAAAACGGAAATTGCGATTGCAGCACGCACAACAACAAGCAGGTTAGCCAAGGCAATGATGAGCAAGGGAGTGAGAGAGAGAGGAAGGGTAGGCCACTTTGCCTTTAGTGGACAACGCGCGCCCATAACACGCGTATAATTGGTTGTATATGTGTGTGTGTGTGTAGGTGAGTTTGAAATGGCGAGCGGGCGAGTGAGCGAACGAACGACGCAACGACGTTACTTCGTATTTGGCAACTCTCACGAGAGTGCGCGTCGTGCCCTCGAGAGCAGAGCTGGGCAAACGGTATATAAGATTTCGTGAAGCATGCATGTTGTGTATGTGTGTGCGAGTACAAGTGTGTGTTCGTTTTTAGGCACTGATAAAAGCAAATTTACATGTGCCGCCGTCACAGCTTGAACCTCGCCTCCTTCAATACAGCGCCTACGACAACGACTACGTCGGTCACGGATTTCACTTGTGTACGAAGAGTGAGGCTGTAAGTGTGAGTGTGTGCATATGTATACATGTAGATGTCGTTTAAAATGTAGGTTACACACAGCGAAACATCTACTAGCACACACATAGACATACAAACATATACAAATGTACATATATACGTATATGGCTGCATACGTAAAATAGTTTCCTTTCAAATGCGCTTGTCAAAGGCTTTTCTCTGGAGTTTTTAATGCAGGCTTTTGTTTGAAATGAAATATTGTGTGCTAAAAAATAAATAATAATAATAATAATATTAAAATCATATTTCTTGGAGTAATTTGCTGTCAGATTTTAGCGAAGGACTTTACTAACTGTACTCTTCTTTTCCTCTATTCACAAATGAAACACCCTTAATTACAACTTAACTAGTTTTACATAATTTACTATCAAATATTTTGGGTCAATTTGAATTTTCGTTCGACACACAAGAACTAAGGTAAGGGCAAATAATGTCAAAGACGCCGATACACAATTTAGAATATAAATACCTATTTGTGTGTATATAACAGATATATACACAATTGAGATAAACAACAACAATAGATATGCTTACCAAGCAAAGTGTAGAAAACTCGCATTTTATTGTTATGTTCGTTCGTTATTTATGAATTTCATATCATTTTCACAACTTTTGATTGGGGAATTTTCTTATTTACACATTTTAATTTAGAAAAATAAAATGCCGTCAAAGCGTAATGGAATTGTTTTCGCTACACGCACTTGTACGGATACTTCTCAATGCATTGCGAGTGTGTACATATATTTGTATGTACTTTTATTCACAGTGACCACTTTCACGTCTTGCACGTCGGCTAATCGCACTAAAACATTTATATAGCACTCTTTTTTGGGCTACGGCAAATAAGTACTATAGAGACATGGATATGTGTGTGTGCTTTTATATAGTTGTGCACTTTTCACTCGTGTTGTTGTGTTACACACTGTCACTCACTGCACGGACGTTTTAGTCTTGAATAGTGGCAATGCTGCTCGCTTGGTGGTTGCTTGGCATCTGTTCGGGTCCTGGGCAGCGAGGGTTTTAAAGCTCGCATCGAAGAGACCAGCTAGCAGTGAGAGTGCGCCTAGATAACTGAGAGTAACATATTACAAATCCACAACAAACAGCTGTTCTCTATTATCCTTACGTGTTTTAAAATTTTGCGCCACTTGACAGTCTGACAGTTGGCAGTTGAACGATAAGTATTGGTATTTAATAGTTTGTTAGTTTTGGTCACACGCTTCTTGTTAATATGATAAGTTCAGCTTTTAACAGCGCTTATCTTGAGCTGTGCAAGCTATCTCTCTCGGACACTGTTAATTGGCTGGGCTGGTCACACAAATAATACGATCAAATTCTAAGGTTAACAGCTGTTAGTTTTAACAGCACAAGTCGACTATCTCACTCATTCTCTCTCTCTACTCTCTCTTTGCTCATGCTAGCTTTCGTCGTTTGATGCGCCATAGCGGCAATTCAATAGGTTTTTGTCTTTTAACGCAAGTGCATTTTAATTTGGAGTAGACTGCAGGCGAAATAATAGATATTGACATTTAAAATTTAAAACAAAATGCGTTCGTGGTTAACTTTAACATTGCTGGTGTGCATTGCACTGGCAGGTGAGTAATACTACATAAATTTAAAGTGTAAAAGCAGCAAACGAAGATTTAATTTAAATCGTCGATGCGGCTTTTTCGCTTGACATTTGTGTTAGTTATAGGTGTGTGTGTGGGTGCGTGTGTGTGTGTGTTATACATGAATACGTGTGTATGTGGGCTTATGTGTAACAAAAGCGTGGCGTGAGCCCATTTACATGTGTGTGCATGTGTAGCAATGGCTGCTGGTACCGCAATAATTTGCTAAAATGCCGTTTGTTACTTTTTTCTATGCATTTTTTCAGCTCAAGCCACAAAGCCGCCTCGTTGGGATCCCAATTACATAGTGAAAGGCACTCTCTATATACCCTATGCTGAGATAGCTGAACCCTTTTACGCCTGGTATGACAAGAACACAAAACGCTCTCGCATTGATTACTATGGCGGCATGGTGAAGACCTATCAGCTGGCCGGCGAGGGTCAATATGGCACCGCACTGAAACTGGCGCCCATTTCCACAAAGGAGGAACTAAACAAGCTGAGCTGCCTGCAGGTAAATGGAACCGCCGACCAGGTAGTGGAAATCCAAAGTATATTGCCCGATGCGAAGCCATTTGCTCTGATTGGCACTGAATCTTTCCTCGGCTATACGTGCGACAAGTTCCGCTTGGAGCAGACAATTGGCCAGAAGAAGAATGTTTACACTCTGTGGGTGCGGTACAAAAAGTCGCCTCATTATCCGGCTAGTCGAATGCCCATTCCAGTGCGTTACGAGATGCGCGGCTACAATACCCTGTTGGGCTCCCATTATGATCATTATTATCTGGACTATGATAGCTATGAGCACGATGACATACCCAATGAAGTCTTTGAGATTGATGAGAGTCTCACCTGCACTGGCTTCCCGGGACCGGGTCACTTTGCCACCTTCAATCCGATGCATGAGTTCATCTCCGGAAGCGATGAGCATGTGGAAAAGGCATTCCATCACTTCAAACGCAAGCATGCCATTGACTACAGCACCGAGAAGGAGCATGAGCATCGCAAGAATATTTTCAGACAGAACTTGCGATACATCCATTCCAAGAATCGTGCCAAGCTCACCTACAAACTGGCCGTCAACCACCTGGCAGATAAGACAGATGAGGAGATGAAGGCACGTCGTGGCTACAAGTCATCTGGTGTCTACAACTCGGGCAAACCTTTTCCCTATGATGTGGAAAAGTTCAAGGATGAGATACCCTCGCAATACGATTGGCGTCTCTTTGGCGCTGTCAGTCCCGTGAAGGGTGAGTGCTTCTGGCATCGCGTTAATTTCTATAACAATACCTTCTTGATTCACAGATCAATCGGTGTGCGGCTCGTGCTGGTCTTTTGGAACCGTGGGTCATCTGGAGGGCGCGTACTTCCTCAAGAACGGTGGCAATTTGGTTCGTCTCTCGCAGCAGGCGTTGATCGACTGCTCCTGGGGCTATGGCAACAATGGCTGTGATGGTGGCGAGGACTTCCGCGTATACCAATGGATGATGCAAGTCGGCGGCGTGCCCACAGAGGAGGAATATGGTCCCTATTTGGGTCAGGACGGCTATTGCCACGTGAATAACGTGACGCTTGTCGCTCCGATCAAGGGCTTTGTCAATGTCACTAGCAACGATCCGAATGCCTTCAAATTGGCAATGCTTAAGCACGGCCCACTCTCAGTGGCCATTGACGCCTCACCTAAGACCTTTAGCTTCTACTCGAATGGCGTCTACTACGAGCCGGAGTGCAAGAACGATGTGGATGGCCTCGATCATGCCGTATTGGCCGTTGGCTATGGTACCATCAACGGCGAGGATTACTGGCTGGTGAAGAACTCTTGGTCGACCTACTGGGGCAACGATGGCTACATTTTGATGTCTGCACGCAAAAACAACTGCGGCGTCATGACCATGCCCACCTATGTCGAAATGTAAACTCTTAAATATCTATATGTAGTCACCTTTGCATATATTGTACAATTTAATTTTTTATATATTCTACATTGTGTCACGCCCCGCGGGCTTTAAAAGGAACAAGCAATAAAGCATATGTCAATACTCTTCGTAATCCCAGTCTTTGGCCTCTTATCTCAAACTAAAGCATATATGTATGTAGCTCTATAAAGCTCTACGATTCCACAGCTATAGCTCTATGCCGTTCGCTCTGACCCCAACTACACTCTGGCGATAAGTTTTAGATGACAATGACCAGCTAGGCACTGCACTTTGCTCACTTTATCGCAACTGCTGCTATTCTCGGATGAGCTAATATCAAGTATTGCCTTATGAAAATAAGAGATTGGCCAATTGACGTTTGCTAACCATAATTATAATAACAAACATCCCCTTAAGGAAAATTCCCATGTCAAGCAGGAAAACACATTTAACGTTTATAATTTTATTTCGTTTTATTTGTTTTTCGTTTTTCTTTTTACTGTGGTAAAGAATCTTACGAATCCAATTTGTTTTAATGTATTTTACAGACGGAAGTGTTAAGATTCGCCCATTGTTTTTTCTGTTTGTTTTTTCTGTTCTCTTTTAGTAAATAATTAACATATTTAATGTACATCAGTTAAACCAAATGTTAAGGCTAAAAACTCTACTCTTATATTCAAAATTCGCACTTAAAATTTATGCAAAATACTTAATTTACAGTAAAAATGATTATATTGAATTTTCTTCAAATAATTTATACGTAATTGCTGTTTGTAATGCTATAAAACTAATTTTGTTTTTTTTTTTGTTGTTTTTGTTTTTCTTTTCAATTTTTATTACGAAATTTTCGTTTGTAAATGTATTTTATGTCTAAATGTATTTTGTTTAGTATTATACAGATCTTAAATAAATTAACAATATATTTGTTTTATATAAAATCGGCTTCTTAAATTTGCATTTTGTATTTTACACTTTCTTCATTACAAAAAAAAAAAAAAAATTGTTTTTGTTTTTATTTTCTTTATATATATATACAGATAAACCCATAAAAACAACATATTCTTAAAAAGTTAATATATAATTTCTATACTCCTAACTCCAATACTCCGACCGATTTTAAATGTTAACAAGAGCATTTAAATATATTAGAATAAATTCTTATACAAAATAATCTTTTTTGTTTCACGACTTTCGAACTAAAAATTCATGTGTATTAGTTGGATCAAAAGAATATGATATAAACGATGAGGAAACTGATACGGCAATACTTGTCGAAAGTTAGGCGTACAAGTTTTTAAGGTAATATAAACTATTTGAGAGATATAATCTATGTATAGAATAGTTCAATTTTATGACAAGAACACCTAAAATCAATTCTGATCAAAAATATGTTCATGGAGATAGCACAGGTAATAATATAGTTCTTGCATAAGACCCATCCATCTCCGAAACGTGACAACTAAATATTTCATTTGAACCATCTTTAACAGCATATACTCAAGAGTTTCTGTTCGTCCCTAAATTAATTAATTTTAGTTAAAATTCTTTGAACCTAAACGATTTAAACCTCTTAAATGTTAACTGTAAAAACTGTTTTAATCTGTAAAAAAGTCAAATTATAGAGATAATTTTGGTATTCAAAATTTCTTAATAATTTAAAAGAAATACATATTCACAGGGCTAAAAATTACGATTCTGTTGTTGTTTTTGGGCATTTAAGGAAAGAAATTAGGCGGAGAGTTTTTCTTTACTGAATTACAAAAATATTGAAATCTATTGTTAAAGAGGAAATAATTTCAAGTTTTATGTTGATCTTATACGCGACGGCCCTTTTTTTATGTACAATATATAAATTTTAAATTTGTTTTTTTAGGCATTACTTAAATTTAATTACGTTCAATTAACTCGCCTTTTGTACTCTTTTTTCAATTTTTAGCTTACGTACTAAATTAGCATTGTTGTTTCGTGTTGAAACGGATTAATTTTATTTACTCTGGATTCTATATACAGTTATTCAACAATATGCGATTCGCTATTTACTCTGGCAAAATTCCTATTTACAGTTTAGTTCCATTTATTTTGGTTTATAGTATTGCTTGCGTTTTAAGCCTGGTTATGTTGTTATCAATTCTTTCTTTTCTTTATTAAATCTGTTATTATTCTCATATAATCTTTAATTACGGCTACGAAAAAAAATTAAGTGAAAACAATAATCATATTTTGTTGTTGCTTTAGTTTTTGTTTGCATATTTCAATAAGTTTAAATAAATGTAAAAATTCTCGAAGCTCTACGCAACTAAAAGTGCTAAGGTATAAAGTAATATTAATACATTATGCATTTAATTATTTTAAAAACAAAAGGAAATCTAATGCTTACAGCTTGATCAACTTTTCAATTAGTTGTAGTTTGTTTGTGTGTGATTCTTTTGTATATCTAAGTTTTATATACGTCTATAGCGCTACATATAGTATTTATATATATACTACATTATAAAGATACATATTTATGGAGTAGAATTAGATAAGTTGATCGATTGTTGCGAAAAAACGCGACCAGTTGAACTGCTAATCAGCTTAGCAGAAGGCTCTTCACTATATTCTTGTCATCGTTTCTTCTCCCGAACTCAAAGCGATTACATATTTAT